TTATGAGAGTGATAGCATCTATTTCATACATGTGTATACACATATACATATGGCTTAAAACGGTTCTCAGAACAAAATAAATACAGTATTAGTTATTATTAGGCCACACTATGAATGGCCTTGATTTTAATCTGTCCATTATTCTCTAAGCAAAAGAAAGGTTTTAAAGCAGAAGAGGGGAGAGTATGAAATAGGATATAGTCTGCATTTTATTTTTTTTAATATGTCTTTATTGATTTCAGAGAGAGGGAGAGAGATAGAAACATCAATGATGAGAGTCATTGCTCAGCTGTCTCCTACACACCCCCTACTGGGGGTTAAGCCCGCAACCAAGGCATGTGCCCTGACTGGGAATCAAACCTCAATCTCCTGGATCATAGGTCAATAGGTCAGTGCTCAACCGCTAAGCCACACCAGCCAGGCTATAGTCTGCATTTTAGAAAAGTAACTCTGGTGCCACTTTGGAGAGCAGAATGGATGGAGGAGAGACTAGAGGCACGATACAAGTTCTGAGGTAATTACAAGAGTACCTATAGATAAGAGGTTCCGAGGTTCCGATGTAACATGGTTCCGAGTTAATATAGTACCCTTGCCCTTAAAACATTCTGAGTCCCTAACTAGAAATGTCAAATTTGAAATGCTAGTCTTAAAAGATCTTATGAGTTTCATGCTAAAACACATAGGAGAGCCCTGGGGAAGAGCACAGAGGGCTCTCCCACTAGTCTGGATGTTTAGTGCCCAACTGATGCTTCTGTTCCGCACCCAAATCAGACCAGGACTTCTTGCATGCTAGTCATATCTTTCCATCTAGTTAGATGAGCAAGATATTCTATTTGGGGAGATGCTTTTTTATTTTTTCCTTTGAGTAACCTCCAATCTACTGGTCAGTTTCCTAGAGGAAGTTATGTCTTCTGGACTGCACAGCCGAAGCAAGGAGAGCTCTCACGTTACCTCCAGGTCAGCAAGCAGAAGGTGAAACGTCCATGGAGAGGCGAGGAGAATGGCGCAGCTCCCCCCTTGCCTCGCTGCAGGCGCTCCCACTGACCAGAAGCGTTGGAGAAAAGGAGCCGTGGGTTTTGTGCTTGTTCTTATAACCCATCTCCAGGTAGCCTGCTGATTCCTGAACTGTTGGCATGGACACCAAGACTCCCAGGGATGAGTTGAGAATAAGTCTGAGCCTATCCCAACCCACTTTTCTTGTGGTTTCTTTATCAAATAAATAAATGTATTCCTTGTATTTAATAGCACAATCACTTCTGTTTCTGATGAATTTTGTTGGGCTCTTACTTGACAAAAAGGGTTGTGAGAGCTTAGAGGAGTTTTAAAAAGTAATCATTTGATGTACACACTACACACTCTCCTCTTGACCTTTTATTTTTCATTAACCACATTCCTGCACAAGTCATTTCTGAAAAATCATGTTTTAGTAGAGCGCCATCCAAAAATTGTCCCTACATTGCAATTTTGGCCTGAGAAACCATGTATGACTACAATAAAAAGCCATTTTTTTGTGAAAAGATACAATTGATTTATTTTTCGTTTCTCTGGGGTTAATAACTATTTATGGGAATTCATGAAATGAGACATGAGCTGGCTTTACATCAAACATGGAGAAGGCATTGCCTCTACCCAAAGCATAGTTAAAGTGTGTCAAGGCAAATAATTCTGGTGTCAATTTCACTTCTCTTGAAAACGAGGGAAAGTGATGGTATCATTAATGCCAGGGAATTATGGCATCCTCATATCACAGCAAAAACACCACAGCATAATCCCTCCCTGGTTCTCAGTAAGCCCTTTATATTTTTTACCTTTCCTTTATGTTGATAAACATTCTCAAGCATCAGATAGCCAAGGCTCAAATCTGTATCATAGTTATGTGGCTTTGGGAATGTCATTTAGTCTCTTTGTGGCGCAGTTCCCTCATATATAAAACAAGAGTAATAAAGTACCTTCCTCAAGGATTGTAAGGATTAAATGAGATGAGGTAATACACATAAAGCACGTAGAACATCTAAACACTCGATGAAATTAATAGTAGTAGATACAATTGATTCCTTCTCAAAGTTGGGGATACAGAATCACACAAAATAACTGGATTCCTGTCAACCCTCTCACTGCACTAATTAGTTTCTTTACTTACACTCATGTGAAGCCCTAGCCTTTTTTTTTTTTTAATCCATATTATAGCTAAGAGCTAAGATCTAAATTGTTTTCTTTTTGTTGCGGTCTATTTAGATAATTTTTTTAATTCATTTTTTTAAATAGTAATAAAAAAGTAAGACAGCCTTTACTTAGGGAGGCAGCATTTTGAATGCAGCGTTTATAAGTTACATAGCCTTTTGAAACACACAGAAACCTCCCTCCTCTGAGAATTACCTCCTTCCTCTCCTCTTAGCAAAATAACTCTTTGGAATAAGAATAATAAGAACAGAGACTTTTCTTATACCATTCTCCTCATTGTTTGTCTGCTTGCATTGTGCCTACTCAACTAACGATATCAAGGAGTCTAAGAAATGAGCCTTACCCTCAGATATTTGATGCCAGAAATGGGTATTTCTTTGTATAAGGATCAAAGACTCACATTTTTATTTAAGATTTACTGAGCCCAGCTGGGCGTGCGTGGCTCAGTGGTTGAGCATTGACCTAGGATCCAGGAGATCAAGGTTCAATTCCTGGTCAGGGCCATTCCCTGGTTGCGGCTCGGTCCCAGTACGAGGCATGCAGGAGGCAGCCAGTCGATGACTCTCTCATCATTGATGTTTCTCTCTCTCCCTCTCCCTTCCTCTCTCTGAAATCAATAAAATATATATTTAATATTTTTTAAAAAAAGATTTACCTAGCTGATTACATTATTATTGGCCATTTATTTTTCCCTTTAAAAACATAATTTTAATTAAGGTCCCATATGCTTTTAATGACCTCTCTTCCATAGATTGAAATGCCCTAGTCAAAACTTCTATGTCCTATTTATTCTACAAAGGCCACGGTACTTGTTTTAGCTAAACAAATATTTGGATAATAGTTCCTGTCCAGTAAACTTGCAAGCAGCAATTCACAAGTCTTTATCTGATAGCCACCTTCTCCCTCCCTTATGTGGAGTTACTAATAAAATAGCCAACTGAAAAATAAAGCTACTGGCAGTTGTGTCTTATCCATGATGATGCAGTTAGAGAGGTAACCCCATCACAAGTCCTCCCAGTATCTTATCTCCACCGAAGAGAAATCGGCTCAAGTTATTTTTGTGGTCTGTGTGTGTGGTCGTGTCAAGCTCACTGAGGAGACAGTGCTATAAATATATGTAAAGGAACCCACAAGTTCTTACTCTGAGATTCCTCTCTTAAGAAATGATCTTTGGAAACAGTCCCAATTCATAGATCCCAATTCAGGTGCCATGAGGTTCACCTGGTGAGAGAGAATCAGTGTGAAGAAGGGGAAGAGTATGGAGTATGGAAAGAGGGGTGAGTAACCGGGCAAAGGGACACAGAGGGAGGGAAGGTAGGGGCAGGATGTGAGGCAGTGCAGCAATACAGGTTAATGAGAGAGAAAGAGAGAAAGAGAGAACAGATTTATGTAACATCTCAAGGAGCAGATAGGCAGGGAAGGTTCTCCAGCCCACATGCATCTGTTCTGGAATCTGAAAATTACTTCGGAGCGTTTTGATATTTTAGTAGTCCCTCTCTGTCTGATGTTCCACAAAGCTCCAGCTCCTGCCTTACACAGCATGCCAGGACCCCAGTACCTCACAGGTAGGAGGCACTCAAATACTAGTTGACTAACAGGAGGGCAAAGGAAAAAGATGGGGCAAGTCGTGAATTACTTCTTCCCCATAAACCAGAATCTACTGGAACTATAAATCCAAACCACTCCTATCTGCCTGTCCAGCAAGCCCTCCAAAGATCATGCAGGCTCATTTTCTCACATTACTGGGGTGTTTTGCCTCTTCACTTATGAAGATACCCTGGATTTTCTCATTCCTCTAAAATCACTTTATAAACAGAGAGGGTGGGAAAGAGAGGGTGGGAAGGGGAGAGGGGGGTGTGTGTGTGTATTTACAAAACCTAAACAGACTGGAGTTAGAAAAGCTGGATTCTAATCCATTTAGCCAGTAACTTGCTGTGTAAATTTGGGTAAGTCAGGTGATTTGCATGCCCTTATTTGTTCTATATACCTCACAAGGTAGCACTAAATAGTTAAAGAATTGACGCCCTAGCTGGTTTGGTTCAGTGGTTAGAGCGTCGGCCCCCAGACTAAAGGGTTCCAGGTTTGATTCCGGCCAAGGGGACATACCTTGGTTGCAGGCTCAGTCCCTCGGCTCGATGTGTCCCTCTCACATCGGTGTTTCTATCTCCCCCCCACACTGTCTCTGAAAAGCAATGGAAAAAATATCGTTGGGTGAGGATTAAAAAAGAAACATATATAAGAGCATTTTGAAAGGATAAATTTCTATGTCCATCTAATATAGAGGAATTAGTATGGTCAATGAAAAGCAGTTAAGAGGAATATTATTGGATTAGGGGATAAGGGGGGGTTGGGAAAAGAGAGAAGCCTCCTCCTTCATTTGACAGGTACCAGAAAAAGCCAAGACGTCCCCACTCCTCAAACCACAGATTTGGCCACACTTTTTTCTTGAGACATCTCTGGGAAAAGGGTTCTTCCTGTTCCCCCTCTCCTCTGTGTCAGCGATATTTATTCATTTTTGTGGTTATTGTGTGCCTATCATATGCCAGGCAATGTGTTGGTTAGCTTATTATTATTCAATCATTAGCCTACAGGGCAATATTTATATTTTCAAAGGCCACAGAGCAGTGATGAAACCAGTTCCCAAACCTACGTTTCCTGACTCCTCTCTTCCCATTAAATAGGTACTGGGAAAACAATTAAGTTACTGAGAAGTTGGTCTGTGGGCTCTGAGGCAAATCTGTTGAGGGAGAGATCCGCAGTCAGGGCATCTTGTGGGCATTGGGCCCTTCCCCCCAATGTAAACAGGATGGGATTTTTCCATGTCGGTGCAACAAGGAGAGAGACCCAGGTATAGTTAAAGCCATTTGGTATAACGGATCACGCTTTGGAGTCAGAATTATATTCCTGCCAGCACTTACAGTGTGTGTCTGCAAACCGCTCAGCCATTCTGAGTCTCACTTTTCTCTGTGTGCAATGGCGATCACAGCATCATACTTAGGGTTCTTCTCCTGAGTAACAGGCGCGAGCAAGGCCTGAAGCTTTGTAAACTGGAAGAAGTGTGTGTTAACCCTAACTCTCTCCCACCGCGGGCCCCTACACGCGGATACCCTCTGAAGCATAAAACTTTTCCCCAACATCTGACCCGTCCAGGCCACTATCCCTACCACCTGGGGAGTATGGATTCCGGGCGCCAGATGTGGGAGACGCGCCCTCCCAGCTCGAGCGCTCGAGTCTGTTTTTGGTCGGGGGGAAGCGATCTGGATCTGGGTTCTCCCGGGCTCCACACGCCTCTCCATTACCCAGCCCGTCCGCCTCCGCCGGCTCCCACGCCGGGTCCGCCGGGTCTGTCTTTCCTGACCCCACCTCTCGCTCTCCCGTCAGCCCGAGTCTGGGTCTCCGGCTGGGTTTGGGTCTGCCTTCTTCACCCTCAGTGAGTCAGAAACAAAGGAGGGCGGGGGGAGCGCACTAGCTCTGGCTCCGCGATTCGCCCTTTATTCTGCACTCGCAACGTCAGCGGCTGCTGGATGGAACCGCGGGGCGCGGGCCGGGCCGCCCACAGCGCGCGGGGCCAGGGGAGCGGCG